TCTTTTTGAAAACTCTACTTTACATACAAGTACTTCTTTTATATCAAGTAGAATTCATAATTTGCACAACTTGTAAGTTTATGCGTGAAAAATCTAAAGAGAGCTCTAAAGTATAAAACTTCGTCATGTTAGTTTCGGATTTCATGTATAGCTTTCCTATCACATATTAGAGTCAAGTGTTTGTATTGTTTTGGTTTGGGTGAGTGTTCAGCTTATTGCATACATATTGTAGGCATCAAGGTTGAAACTAAGTGAGAGAGCTTTCAGGGAATGCCGAGTGAATATAAGTCAGGAACTTAGGTTGGGTAGAATAGGGTTCTACTATGTAACAAGTTCAATCTGAAACCTGTGAGTAAAGGTCTGATTATAATAGGTTGTAACTAGGAGAATTTGCCCTAGTATAGTGGATTGGTTTGGTGTTTGAAATCTCTTGGAGGGTCGAAATTTTACTTCCAGTTGGGCCCTGAAAGGTTTTTTTTTTTATTTTGATTTAGTTCCGCAAAAGTAGTTAATAGGAACTCTCATACAATTCACCCCCTCCCCCTCTTGTAGTGTTCGTCTCAAATAAGGGCTTGTTCACATTTACTGAACTAAACTAAATTGAGCTGAACTGAACTAATTGGAGCTGAATTGAACTGAATTGAATAAAGTTGTAATGAATATTTCATGAGAGAAGGAAATTAGGAGCTGAACTAAACTGAATTGATTGGAGTTGAACTAACCTGAACTGATTGGAGCGAGTTGAACTGAACTGAACTGAAATTAAGCTGAAGTGAACATGCCTTAACACTAGTAAAACCCAATGCGGCGTATGGGACAAAACCATAGCTAAAGAGAAAAAAAAGAAAAAAAAAAAGTGCAACGCGTATTTTCTCCCCCTGATGAATACATAACATGAGATCTTCTAAACTCTAGTGTAATGGATAGGAAACTTCTCACATATAGCATAATACCATTTCTTGATAATTGGTCATCCAAATTGAACTTGAATCTTTAAAACTTCACATAAACAAGTGAGGCATCTTCATTTAATAAAACATGTTTGTGTTTACATTTATATCACTCAAAATCTGTATTTAATGTTTCTTTAAACACAAATGCCTATAACAAAAAATGGAATCGTTAGTATAATAATATAATATGTACTTTATTAAAAAATACACCCTTTGTTTTTTTTTTTAAATGCATCACTTTAATTTTTACACTATTCAACTATCATGAATAACTTAATATTTTCACCTCTATAAAATAAATAAATGTTACTTCGCATTATATTATACGGAGTATAATATATCATTAAATTAGACATAAGCTATAGTTTCATTATATAATTTTGTTACTCCGTATAATTTTTACTAATAGACAATCAAAGATACGGAGTATTAATAATCAAACTTACGTCTCGTCGAATATTCTGGTCAAACTGATGCAAATAAATAAAATAAAAATTAAAAAAAAAAAAAAACAAAACAAAACATAGGGAGTAAGTAGTTGTCTACTTGTCCATGGATGCAATACATTGTGAAAATATCAAATATTAAGCAAAAAGTAAATACATAAAAACAAAGTCATGTCACGTAGCCATCTTTGTGATGTAAAATGGAATCACACAATATATTTTGCCTCTTCGGTTGACTGTTGATGATATTATTAATATTTAGTAATTAATTAATTAATTGTTCCTAATCGTAGCTCTAACAGCGAAATAAAATTCCCTTGATTTGTATTCCAGAACTCTTTGTTAATTTGCCTAAGGTGACTCATTAAACTTGCATTTATTAATTACGAAGTACTTTACTTGTATATAATAAGGTAAAATATCGTTGTTGCTTGTGCAATTAAATAGGGATTTTTCTATATTTTTTCCGGCGGTCGTGGCTGTTGCTAAATTATTACCAACAAACCTCTTTTTTCAGAAATCTATTTTGAACTTGACTTAAATTATTTTAAATAAGTCACCAAAGTAAATTAACAGCCTTTGAACAAGGGATAAAAGATGATTCACTTTGCTTAGAAATCAGAATAATAAAGGCTTTGTTCAAAGTTACATTTCAAAATTTCTTTCAAAAAAAAAATAAAAATAAAAAAAAGTTACATTTCAAAATTACTTCAAAACTTCAATAAACATTATTCTGTATTATTTGATTTGTTCGTGTGAGATTGTGAAAGTCCTCATATTGATCTCATTGAAGTGTATTTCATTGATCATATATCTAAGGGTTATGATATACAAATTAAACAAACTTCATTAGGAAGAATACATATACGAAGTACTATATATTTTTGAGAGGATGCGGAGTAATAATATACGAAGTAAAGAAGATATTTGTAATCAATTCAATTATGAAGTACTCCCTCCGTAATATAAAGCCTCTTTCTCTTTATTATGTGAGTAATAAATGCTAAAAAAACAACATTGGGTTTTTAGAAGTACGAGGTAAAATAAATAAGTAGCAAATGAGAAAAATGATCATGACAAGGATAGAAAGTTAATTTGAGGATGAAGAGTAAGTAAACCTCTGAAATTTTTTCTGTGGAGGCGGATGCACCATGCTTGGTGCATCCAGTGTTCTTTAAAAAAAGGCGGAATGAACATTTAGCTATTCAGTAAAGAACATATAGTTGTTTTGTAAAGAACATATAGCTATTTTATAAAGAACATCCAATTTTATATGTTTTTTTTTTGTAAATCTAAAGAACATTTGTAATATTAGTAAAGAACATGATAATATTAAAGAACATTGTTCATATAGTAAATGTACATTTGGTATAAATGATCATGTATGTATATGAAAATGTATATTTTACTGTATTATCATGTACATTGTATTATATTCTAATGAACATATATGTTATAATATTGGTTACATGTTTTATGTACATTGTATTATTTGCATCATATAAGTATATGAAAAAAGAACATTTTACTGTATTTTAATGTACATTGTATTATTTGGACCTACAACTTTTTCTAAATTTGTCTATTTGCTTGCTTTCTTCTTCCAAAATATATTAATCGGTTGATCTTCTTCAAGAATTTCATTTTATTTCTCATTGCAACAACAAAATTATATCAAAATCGCAATTAGTTTTCAATAAAATCAAATATTACAATTTTCAATCAAATTTATATAAAACATACACTCAAACTCAAAATAAACAAGTATGAATGTCAAATAAACAAGTATAAATGTCGAATTTGGTCTTACTTTTCGTTTTTATTTGTCATCTTGAACAATTTTGGGCTCAAAATTTCGAATTTCTTGAAATTTTGTTTGAGGAATTTGAATGGGTTTGAAGTTTTGTTTGGAGAGAGAAAGTGAACTTTTGGTAAAAAAAAAAAATCGAAATGATTTGTAATTAATGTATGGTAAAAAAAATTAATTATAGTACTATTTATCTATTTCATTATACAAAATTTCTTTTAAAAAAAATATATATACAAAATTGTTGCATAAAAACTGATGTATATTACAAATGAACACTATGTTCTTTTATGTATATGTCCATGTAAATTATAAATGACTACTATGTTCTTTTATATGACAATGTTCATTAGTATATATTTGAATGTTCATTACGCCTTTTTGTATTTTGGAGCGGATGCACCATTTGGATCGTGCATCCGCCTCCACGAACCAACTATTAGTAAACCTCAAAAACTTAGTTTAGCTGTGTATTTTTAGGCAACCAAAAAACTACAGAGTACAAGGTAGTTATTAAACACTTGTTATGTTTAGTTGACTAAATACAACTTTTTTTTTACCAATAAATTTTTTGATTAATTAGAAGTCAATCAAGCCATTTATTAAACAACACCCAATGCTATAAAAGAAAAATGGATTACTCGGATACTTCCTCTGTTCTTTAATAATTGACACAATCACACTTGACGCATATGTCAATGCAATGCACTAGTTTGACCTTAAATATGTATGATTATATATACAAACTATTGGGCGCTGTAGTTCGCACCCAATAGTTCGTGCGACAAGAAGGTAGCGGCAGCAGCACGCCTTCCTTCCACCACCTGCAAAATCAAACACAATGAACCACAATCTAGATTTACATCCCCAAATAATACTAAGAAAAAACAAAATCCCCAAAAATCAAAACAAATCATAAATTAAAACAAAAATAATCCCCAAAAAAAAGAAAGACAAGGGTTTCGATTTGCGCATGATTTGATTGAACGACAGCAACCTGGTGGTTGGTGATTTGCGTTGGGTTCGGTTATATATTAGTAAAAAAAAAATTATGAAAGTTGATGCTATGAAACATTATATCAATAATACCTAAACATTATGTCAATACATATTTAATTTTGTATTTTAATCATTGCCAAGAAAACGACGATCAATTAGTACTCTGCATATAAATACTTGAATAGTTTATCATGCTTTAAAATAGGTAAATTCATGTTTCTCATATTAATACACAAGACAAATATCTCAAAGGAGTACTTGTGTCGTTTTGAGAATGTAAGTGCGGTTAATATTGAAATTGATCTTAATTTGGCTTCCTCTCCTCCATCTGTTCATCTTCTTCCTCCATTCATTCACCTCCATTATTGGAAATCAATAACCTTCAATGGAGAAATTTTAATGCACGAACATCTACAATGGAGGAGGAAGACAAACTCGGCCTCATTTCTCCATTTTTTTTTAAAGGTTTTTCATTTAATTCGGCAATAATTCACCACAAAGGCAAAGGAGGTTGAAGAAGATAGAGGATGACGAGTTGCCAGACAATGTCAAGCATTCAAGCATGGAGTGGACCCAGTTTAATGGAGTACAAAGGTAAACTGCGAAAAAGTACAAAAGAAATAATTTAAAAGTTGCTTTTATTTACAAGTGTGCCATTTTGAGATACAATTATGTTTATCAATATGAAAAAATGAAATTTGGGTTTCTTAAAAAAAAAAAAATCAAACTTGTCAATTTTTTGAAACGAGCTAGGGAAAGAAGTGCATCAATAATTTCAAAATGGAAAAAACAATGCTTTTTTTTTTTTTTTTTGTGTGGTTGACCGTACCGTGTGGTAGGGTTTAATTATTCTAGGGTTACTCCATTTGTTGGCGCTTTTTCACGGGATTACCTATTTCGGGGTTACTCGATCGGTCAGAGGTTATTTATTCTAAATTTACCCAATTAGTTAGTGCGTTTTTGTGTGAAAGTAACCTATAACTGACCGAGCAACCCTAAATAAGCAACCCTTAATCAAGTAAATACTCCGTACAAAATAATTAGCGACACGATTTGATTAGATACATATAAAAATTTGTGAATTAAAAAAATACCCTCTTACCAAATTTGCCCTAATTTACACACATTTTAATATTTTATTTATACACCCCTGATTCCTCTCCCCCCCAATTTTCCTACCAAATCAAAACAATCTAGAAAATAGAAATCAATCAATAATGGAAGAAAACCTAGAAGAACCCCAAAATCAAAGGAAGAAAAGCTCAATTGTAATAGAAATCCCATCATATCAAGAAGTTCTTCAGAATAATCAACTTAAATCAACACAACCTTCTCTTTTCACCCCTTCTCAATCCTTCACTCAAGCTTTTGCTTCCATTAAAAAATCCGAATTCTACACTCCTCCTCTTGCTGCTGCTCCCCCTCCTTCTACCTCTAATTCTCAATCTCTCTCTTCATCAAATGCTTCTTCTTCGGCTTCGGCTGTGCCCTCTTCTTCTGGGTATGTTAATTTGATCTGGGTTTCAATTATATTTTTGTGGGTATTTTTGAATTGAGTTTAATTTGTTTGTTTGTTTTTTTTTTTATCAGGCAAACTGGGGTTTCGAGTAATAATTTTGTTCAGAAGAGTAATGCCATCATTGTCAGCCACAGGCAGGTATTTCTCTGTTTTTTTTTTCCCCAATTTTTCTGGATTAAATTGCTATATTGTTGCATTTTTCTTAATTGATTTTGTATTGAATAATGTTGTGTTAGATAAAATTAGAATGTAATCAAGGTGTTATGTTGAGGAATTGTGGATGTTTGAGAATATGCATAGCTTGTAGTGGGTTTAGTATGCCAACAAATTAAATGAGGCAATGACAAACTTGTTAGCAGTACTGCAGCATGTATTATTTGTGGAAAAGTGAAGTTCTTTTTGTGATTCGCTGAAATTCTTCTGACGAGTGACAACAGTCTATTTGAGCCGAAGTTCTTGTAAATTTGGGTTTGTGATTCATTGAAATGCTAATGATGTTGAAGTTTCTAGGTCAGGCTTCAATGATTGATAGTTTGGATGAAAGAACTAACCTTGGGATTTCTTTATTAGAAGAATTGCTATTCCAAAAATATGTGGAAAGCTATACAAATATAGGCGATATATAAGTTGTTCACTTGTTCTAACTTAGTTTTTTGGGCTTTATTATTTAGTTAGCTCAGTAAAGGAATACTAGTTTATGAACATTATAGCTTAATGCTGATGCTAATGATGTTGAGGTTTCTAGGTCAGGGTTGATGCTTTGGATGAAAGAGTTAAACTCGGGCTTTCTCTATTGAAAAAATACTATTCCATAATATATGGGAAGCCATATAAATAGAGTGGAAATTTAAGTTTTCTTATATGATGTTTGGGTCTTTTTATTCAGTTTTGACTCCAGAAAGGAAATTTCATGAACAATAGAACTTATTATTGACTCACATCTGTTGAAATACTTCAGTCATTGTGAAGAGATGGTACTATTTATATCTTAGAAATCAGGACATGAGAGCAGCTCAGGATGCAGGAAGGAGATTGATGGATTTACAATTGACCATATGATGAAAGTAAAAACTGAGGTAGCTGATCAGCTGCCTCAGTACATAGTGTAGTTTAGTGTGTTTATTAGTTATAGTATCATAGGATAGGAAGATTAAATTTCTAATTTAGTACTTTTCATAGGATAAAGAATGGTAGCAGTTCAGGTTTTTTTTTGGTTAAGAGAGGTAAGATGAGGGAGGGAATTTATCAATCTCTTTGGTTTATAAATAAATTAGCATCGCTATGTCATTCTTTTTCTTGCTCTCTTTTAGGGTTTTGTTGGGGACAGGATTATCTTTTTATTGTTCTCGTATTAATGCTTTGTGAACCTCATGATTAAACTTTCTAGTAAAATGGAATAGATAAGAGCACAAGGCTTGTCCCTGATATCTTTTATGAGGAACAAGGGTTCAGCTTCTATCTACAATATCCCTTAGCTGGGAAACTAAGAAAGTAGCAGTGGATATTTAAGAGGTTTAAGCAAATATTCCTCTGATGATAGATATTCAGTTAGTGGTTAGTAAGGAAGAATGGGAAGATAATTGACCTGCAACTTTAAATTGCTGAGGGGCCAGGGACTGATCAAATGTATTGAATCCCCTTGTCGATACTTCACTTCTTTGTACTTTTACCGTTAACCGGCCCTTCCCTACCTTCTTTCTCTGTGCAAACCACATTAATGTTCTATAAGCTGCTATTGTAGGTCTCTGGTGTTCTTGGATTAATATATATTTGGTGTAAGTCATTCATTGCCCTTTTTTTTTTATTATTATTATTTTTATTTTATTTTATGAAATGGACTTCTGAAGTTTATCTGATTCTTATGTTTTTCCTTTTTTTTTTACTTGGTGTCCATGGCCTGTTCAAGTGTACTGTTTCCCTATAATGCTAATGCTTAATTATTTATTGCTGGAGATCTAGTGCTCAGACAGTTAGTAGAATTACTTTTTGCTCTTCATTATTATTTTTGGGCTCTGGGAGTTAACCTGGGGGGTGTTAAAGTGTTAGCAACTGACATATATTTAAGCTTTGTAATTTATAATCATTGAGTGGTTTTCTAGCTTATTGCTGTCAATTTAATCTTTAGAGGCTTTAGTCACCATCATCAAGCTGCTGGCGAAATTTTTGCTTAATTTGGTAATTGTTCATAACAGTTGCTTATATTTTGCCTCAGTCCTCAGTCATTAAAATTCCTTTTTCAAGGACATGTCTTCAAAGGGATGAAGGAAGTGATTGGTTGGTTCTAATGGAATTAAGGACTTCCAGAAGTTTGAGAATCTAACTTTATGTGTCAATTTCCTTTTGCAGAAAGGAAACCCTCTGCTCAAGCACATCCGAAATGTAAGGTGGAATTTTGCAGAAGTTATTCCTGACTATGTTCTGGGGCAAAATTCTTGTGGCCTTTATTTAAGGTTGGTTAAAACATTTTTTCCTTATGCAAATCTTCTCTTTAGAAATAACCTTGGGGCCTTGGGTGGTTACAATTTTACAAGGTGGTGTTTGGATAGGAGTTTCATGTAAACAATGTCTTCAAGTAAATTGTCGATGTCATGACTTTTATTTTCAATGTATCCCTTTTGACATATATTCTCGCTATTTTTGCACTGAAGTTACCTACTTACCTCACAGGAAAGCTGATATTTCACATTTAAATATCGGCAGATGCTTAATATTATCTCTGGTATACTGTATTTCCTGTTATCGTGACATAATAATATTAAGAGATTGGCATGAGTTCCGTCAATCGTCATGTATGCCAAGCTGCGAATGCATATCTTGTTTATTCAATGACTGGTCTGAATGGAATTTAATCATTTAAGTGAAAAATCGCCGACTTATTCTAGTTTAGTTTATCACACGGATTTTATTTTTTTTTGTTACTTTCTATCATCTTTTCATTGTGTTAATGAAATTCCTAGAATTTAATATTGTGCAGTCTCCGCTATCACCTGCTTCATCCAGACTATCTTTATTTTCGTATAAGAGAACTACAGAAGAACTTCAGACTTCGTGTGGTGCTATGTCATGTTGATGTGGTAAGCTACTAGATTGACTCAGTAACTTTTTAACCTTGGTCAGGTTGATGTATGTTATGGTTCTTATGGAATATAATTATATGGCAGTGTCATTTACATATATTATGACTGCTGTAATAATTGTGTCCGACATTATGATAATGGTTTTCAGGAGGATGTAGTCAAGCCTTTGCTTGAAGTCACAAGAACTTGTCTGCTTCATGATTGCACTCTTCTCTGCGCTTGGAGGTAAGCATAAAGCACTTCTTAAAATATATCCTTTTAAAACTCTCTAGGGGAGTTAGATTCTATTTTTCTTGGGATATACTCCGTTTTCATGGTCACACAATGGCACTGATGTTTTGGTGAATGCCTCCTACTCCACTCCCCCAAAATTCTTCTAAATTTGGTTGTTCTGGAGTATCTCTTTTCCTGGGATGATAGAATGCTGCTGTCTTCCTTTATGTAACTATTATATTACTAGTGTGTGTCAACATGACCAATAGTTTTCATTTCACTCAATCCCCATAAATCCACTTCAGCAGCACCTTTGCATGACCTGTTAAGCAAAATTTAGTTCTATATTTGATGTATATTGATCCACATTCAGGCTTATACTAACTTTGATTTATAATTTTCCTGCCATTTCCATTCTGTGTATATCAGCTTGGAAGAATGTGGTCGATATTTAGAAACGATTAAAGTCTATGAGAACAAGCCAGCTGATATCATTCAAGGACATATGGACTCTGATTATTTATCAAGGGTATGTTCCATCTGGGATAATTCTCTCCACAAATTAATAGTGCTTTAATCCATATATATAAAGCAGCCGAGTTAAAAGGCTCTTAATTTGTCCTTAAACAGTATAGTATCTTATGAAAGCATATAATAGTGTGGGCAGATGTTTTTGTACAAAATTTTTACTGAACCGCATATCTGGTTGCAGTTGAATCATGCCCTTACTGCTGTTCGACATGTTAACAAAACTGATGTAGTCACTCTTGGTTCCACATTTGGGGTAGGCAAGATGATCAATTTTGTTATAGATAAGTTTTTCTTGAAGGCGATCTTCTAATGGTTTTATTGCACTTTATAGTCTCTTTCTCATATCATGGATGCTTCTATGGAAGATCTAGCCCGTTGTCCTGGCATTGGGGAGCGTAAGGTACTTTCAAGTCTTGTCAATATTATTCATCATCTTGATCCATAGTAACATTAAATGATTTTCATGCCGTCAGTTGCAATTAGAACAGGCTTTATTCTCCAAGTCTCGAATTTGTTAATCTCAGTTCTTTCAAGTTTCTCCTTAAGTAGAGTTATAGTTTGCACTCAGCAACTTTATCAAAATTCTTCTCCGCTTACGTTTTCTCCTTTCTCTGTGTGTGGTGATGTGCTTTTCTGACATGGAGTCAAAGTCCAAATTTTGAAGACACCATTGACTAACATATCTTGTTGATCAATTAGGTTAAACGTTTGTATGACACCTTTCATGAACCTTTCAAACGTGTGGTGCCAAACCGCTCTGAAGCCCCTGTGCAGAATGATCCAACTCCAACCTCCTTAGAAAGCGAACCACCAGGTGTTGAGAAGAAATCAGAAGACACTAGCAAGCGTCAGAAAAAAGACCCAGAAGTGATCTTACAATCAGCTTTGTCTGCAGCCTTTGCAAACTATTCAGATAAACTTGGAAAGAAAAGCACTGCATCAGATAAGGAAAGTGGTGAGAGCTCAAACATCCAAAAAGAATCGGAAGCTGATTCAGAAATTTGAAGTAAGAATCTTTACATCTGAAATTTCTCTTGGTGATTGAGTCTTGGCATAGACCCCCCGAAAGTTTTGTGGTATCATTACCATCTAGTGTTTTGGTTTTATGAACTGGTTTTTTCTGGACTGATATAATAGTTATGTAACTATATCTGATTTGTAGCTTTAGCTTAGATTATGTTAGTTGATGTAAACGTCAGTTAAGGAAGTAATGCATCTTTACAAATGTAAATGTAGGCTTAGAATGTTATAGTAGGAAATTTCCTCTGCTGATTGGCATATAACAAGCTGCAGCATGCATTTAGAGCACATGACATGGTCCCAATAGTGGCAGTGACATTTAACATGGGTTTTGTATTGCTTTGGGCTATAAATTACGGAGTATACCGAAAGACTCAATTATAAATGTAGCATTGTATGATTAGTTTTTTTCAAATGTATGTTGTATACTCCCTTTGTCTCTAAATAATCATCCTCAATTGGTTCGGGGTCAACATAAATGATTTTGAATGAAATTGGCATAATAATTCACAATTCTTGTACCCTTCAAAGTTTAATTAATATCTTTGTTGTCACACGTCGCCCTTCTTTGGCATCCAGTTCGGGTTTTTAAAGCCAATTATTATGAGAATTAATTATTTTTTTTCAATCATGAGTCGATATGGTTATTTCAAGCTATTTTGACAGAGGTCTATATCAATATAGGTTATCACATCTTTGCTTCTAGCCTCAGCAATATTTACCTTGTCTTCTCTTTTGGTTTTACTCACTTCACTTGTTACTTTCATCTAAATCAGTGGTGTTCAGCAGATCAGCATATTGTTTTGATGGCGAAATATCACCCGGCATTTTGTCATTTTCATGTTTGGTTTTGCGCATAGAATTTTTTTATTTTTTTTTCTCCACAGTTTCACTTTGCTTTCATATAGATCCTGGGTAGATGTGTTAGTATGTTACATCCAATACCTTAAGGTTTTTCATGAGTGTTTATAACAATCTTGTAATAAAAAATTTCTACAAGGATTATATTTTGAAGACAACTTTTGTAGCATAGCTGAAAACCTGGTGGTTGTCATTGCTGCAATATGATGCTCGTCTTCAATGGACAACAGTTAAGCATTGTTATAATGCTGCGTTACACAAATTACCTTAAACTCGGTGGTAACTTCACCAGAATTTAGCTGTTATTTGCAATTTTGACACAGAATTTACTACTTGTATCTGACTGCTGATGTTCTAACTTTTGCTAAGTACATAGAATTTTTTACAGTTTAATTTGTTATTGAATGATAACTAAAATTCTCCTTCTGATTCATCTGTATGCTAACTTTACAATTGTTTGCGTTCATTGAATTCCTTTGTTTCTCCTTAAAATCGTTTTCTGAGATGAATAACCGTGGTTTATTGTTTGAATCCTTTAGACAAAATAGTAAATGTCTGATTGATTGTACAAGTTACAAAATTTAGCCCGGCATGAAACCTTGTACGTGCTAACTGCCAGGCCTATTTTCTGCTAAAATTTACAGTTGTAGTAATGAACTGATTTATACTTCTTTGTTGTCTATATGTAGGGACTAAAAACATTGTTAGGTTGTATTCATTCAAGATTCTTTTGGTGAAACGATAGGTAAGTTTGAGATCTGACAATTACAATATGATATAAAAGACAAATTTCTCCTGTTAATTGATGAATAAGAGGAAAGGAATATTTTCTTACTTGCCTTTTTTTCATCGCATAAATTTGTAAATTAGGAATGGTTTTGAATTATTTCAAGGTTGATTTTGGTTTACTCGGTTGGGTCATATTTGTGTGTATTGCCATTTATCTTAATGTGATTATTAGTCACAAATTGAGACGTGTAATCACGGTACAGTTTAAGTTTGGATCAATTAATCAAATACGAATCAGTTTTTTCACTAGTTAATACTTATATGTGTTAGTAATGCACCCCTTGTTTGATAGTGACTTTCATAATTGATAGCTTATTAGCTTGGTATGTGTGTCTTGCGAGCCTGTGTTCCCAGTATTTTTTCCTCGTTACCTGTTTCTTTGTTTTATTGGCATTAGAGGTCCGTGTTACATAAAATAGACGGCCCCTGTTAATATGTGAATTTGACTGTAATCAAATAATAACAGACAACTGATGGGAGAACTCACTCGATTGGTTACCTATTAGTGTTTTCTCTTATTGCAGATCAAACTAAATCAAATTGCTGTGAGAACTGTAAACTCAAACAACTATGTCTATAAGAGCTGGACATATTTTTCTTCGAACTTTCCTTATTCTATACTTAAGCTAAAGCTTACAGAATGATAAACCATTGTAGTATTCATGTACAGCATTAAATTATCAGACTCCACAACTTGTTTTTCTTTTGACTCGGTCTAACTCTCAGGTACATGGATTGGAAGCTATACTGTGAGTCTAATGCTGTTATCTTGAATTATTCCTGGTGTTGAAATGCATGGTCATGCTGCTCTTTGAACTGTGTGCTCCTCTTCATAATATACTCTGCAATGTGAATCTTTCCAATAATCCTGATTTTGGCCGTGTTCATGTATTTGCATGCCAATCTTAATCTTGATCATTGGCTTGTAGGAGAAAAAACGAAGTGCAGAAATCTCCATCAGATTAAAAAGAATGTAAACCAATTTTTCCCTAGAGAAGTCATTTACTATGACAAAGACGGCCTCTGAGACCTTGGACTGACGAAATTAGTGAGATATCTGGATGAACTTGAAGGAGCAGATGAAAGATTTTTCACCAAAGGGATTAAAGACTGCACAACATCCGTCATCAAAGGTCTGTAATCTGGCTCTACTTGTACACAAACAGCAGCAATCGCTGCAATCTGTAGAAAAAACGATGAAGTAGGATCATTTAATTAGCTTTGCTGTCGCATAATCATTATTTTAAGCTAATGAAACATATTCTCTGACCTGAATTATATCCTTTTGGGAGTATTGCCCTTTTAAATTTGGATCAATCATTTCCATTACCTTCTGTCTGTGAGTTAATCTTGGAAGAGCCTAAAATTGAAAGAACTAGTCAGTTTTAATCAGCAAAAATCAAATATAGTCAGTAGTAATCACTTCAGCATCGTTAAAATCAGTTGAGGGTCTAGTTAGTCACTACTAAATACTAACCCAATCGACAAGGACATGTTCTCCTGATGGACGCCTTGTATCTACGGGTACACGTCCTGTAATGAGCTGTAAAAGAACAACCCCGAAGCTGTAAACATCTGATTTTGTGGTCAGCTTCCCTGTTGAAGCGTACCTGTAGAACTAAAATTAATTAGAGAGTGAAACTCCAAGATACCAAGAACAGAAGATCACATGATATGATAAATAAATAGGACTAGTCATTATAAATGTTTAGCATTTAGTGTGTCCTTACTTATTAAGACAACATTCTAATTTCCTTCCTTTTTTATAGGTGAAGATTAGCATATTGTCCTTAGTATGATTCTTTAAGCTTCATAAATGCTATTCAGGATAATGTTAAGCCTTACATGTATACTGTAAGGACCACATTGCATTATTAGAGACTCGTAGTTTTCAGTTATATGGTTAAGAAAGTGATGCATGAGAATACAGCGGGGGGTGAGGGTGAGGAGAAGGAAAAGCACCCACTCTGGAGCCAGGTATCCGGTGGTCCCTAAGACGCGAGTTGAAATCTGACCGTTGATCTTATTAGAACCTGTCTTAGCCAAACCAAAATCAGACACCTTAGCCCTGAAGTTATGGTCCAATAGAATGTTGCTGCATTTGAAGTCCCTGTGGATTATGGAAGGTGTTACATGCTCATGAAGGAACTCGAGGGCACGAGCACAATCAAGGGCGATACGTAGTCGAGTGCCCCAATCCAATGGCTGAGGGTATGTGTGAGGTGAATGTAGGTGCTGCTGTAGGCTGCCGTTGAGCATAAATTCAAAGATTAGGAGCCTGTGATTTTGGTCCGCGCAATAGCCAAGTAGCTCAACTAGGTAAGGGGATTGTAAACGGCTTAGTAGGTCCACCTGCCCATAGAAAAGTTATCTTATTAATTCTCAAACCATGTGAATAGTTGATGAGGCTTCATAAATGCAAATTCATATGGATACAAAATAGGCACATAATCTAGTTATTCTTTACTGAGGTTTACTTAACTTGAGGAGAAAATGACAAAATATAATAGAGCACAAGTCAAACCCCTAAGAAATTCTTTCTCTTTTAAACTAAAATTAGGACTTTATTTATTAGACAAAAATATCTTTAAGTAAAGCTTAAGTCCCTTTACAATAAGATAAGTACTTATCATTAAATTTAATAATCCTGTATAGGTTGTTTTCATTAGATTCTTGCTATTGAAAAAAGAAAACGCTACTACCTATATAGTTCAAGGTTATGAATAAGAAACTTGAGTGGCTAATAATAGATATTTAATAACGCCAATCAACCCGTGTTTTTGTCACTAATATGAGTAATATCTATAGTTGTCCTACATGCTATGTTTGTGAATCCTGTTATTCTTCCTAGGCTGATTAGGGTCATAATGTTACAATTGGTCAATAACTCAATAACACAATTAAATTATACATTCATAAGAAATTTTATTTTAAATCTATTGATTCAATATCAATTTTCTTTATATTTCTCTCACGAGAGTTGTCAACCCTACAAGAATCGATACAATTAGAACATTCTGACATCAGCTAATCTATCATTCTATCCTGCTGTTTGTATTGATAAAGAAAAAAGAACAAAGGAAACATCATATGAAATTATGAATAGATATCTTTAAAATGGAATAAGAAATGAAAGGCCAAAAAAGAATTAAATGAAAGGCAACCTTACCTCTATTCTAAAAGCACGCTCTCCTTGCTTGCCATTGCTGTTCACCATCTTAATTGCTGTTACAGTCCCATCTCCTAGAATTCCTCTGTACACCACCCCATAACCTCCGTGCCCTATCACATTCGCCTCGTTGAAGTTATTTGTTGCCATTTTTAGCTCCTTGTATGTGAATACTTGTACACCTTTTTGTTTGAATTGTGATGATGTACGCCTTGAGCTCGGATTTGACATATACCCATTCTTCACCTCTACTCAGTTATCATAAACCAGTACATCATATCAGATTTTAATTGACGGTCTGACTAGTGAAATCTTAAAGAAAGTAACAATTTATAACACTGAAGAATGAAATTTAATAGAGTAGTGAACATTGTTGTTACCTGGACTGCTTTCAGTAAAACTGATGGCAGTATCAGCAGCAAACTTGCAGCTGTTGTCGCTGTTGCTGTTGCTGTTGCTGTTATAATTGTTACACTTCGATGACCTCCTCTGTCGTCGAAGTAGTATAATAAGAACTACGATGAAGGAAAGGAGAATAAGTATGAAGATAGGTATGACAATCAGGAGAATGGAAGTCAGCGAAAAACTCCCCTGATTACTCTGCTTATCATCATAGTTTCCGGGTGGCGAATGGTGAAACGAGTGTTCACCACCGCGGTAGTTGGCTGCAGCACTGTCAGATGATTCTGCAGAACCAAGAATGGAGGAAGTTTCCATGACAAAAATGGGAAGTACAAAAAACAGAAGATTGGTTAAAAAAGAGATTTTTATTTTTTGCAGAAAATATGATGATTATGGACTGATATCTGCTGGGAAAATTCAGATGTAACTTTCTGTTAAGTAAGCACAGAAAGCAATGTATGAAATATAAAGAAGAGGAGAGAGAAAGTAACAGATTTGGTAAGAAGAGGAATGAGGGGTGTATGTATAGTTGTAGTGTATTGCCTTAGTAGGAGGTCATCCTACAAGTTTAAGGCACATGAATATCTTAAGACTTTTTATCTATCTTCTCGTGAGCATAAAAAGAGGGTTATTTGATTTGATAAAGTTAGGTTTTTTTTTTTTTTTTTTTTTTTTTTTTTTTTTTTTTTGAAACCTAATAAAGTTAGTTTTAGTTTGGCTGTTCTTTTGTTATTTGGCTTTGGAATAGTCTTTGTCTTTGATAAGGAATGGACATATTTTGGTCTAATTCTTTTGCATGCGATTTGTGAAACTGCAAGTAGTGAATGTATCATCTTAATCAAGTTTAGTTCAAGTGAGTCATTTAGTCATTTGTCGAACAATTTGTTACAATGTACGGAATACAATAACTCTTAACTCAAGAAAATAATACCCTTAAAATTCTCTCCATGTCACAATTAATTGGTAAAGTTAAAAATTTTAAAAAAAAAAATTTAAAAAAAAGTTTATAATTTGTGTTAGGTTTGACCTTAAGCATTTGCCATGATAGATAAAAAAAAAAAAAAAAAAAATTGACATATTTAATGGTAAACAACTAACCAATGCATGTGAACGCCCACATTATGCCTTAATTTTTCACATTCTTCAAATCTATCTTCATAGTTGAAACTCTTGAAAGCATATGAATTTTCCTTACTTAGTTAAATTGTGTTAATTAGGTTTTCAAAATCATCGTATTACAGTATTTGGTTGTTAAATCTTCAACTTAATTTTGTGATGGAGTGTCACTGGACCAGTCGTTGGAAGGGACCATGAAAAAGAGATCCATTGAGCAACTAATACCATTAAATACACCTATAAAAAGAATATAATCATGTAGTAGTATTGTAAAGTTACCCATTATTCTAAATTCATACTTTAACCAAACATCAAATAATAAAGCATAAAATTTCATACTAAATCGGATATGAAATGTAAAACTTTATTAAAATTCACAACTTATTCTAACATAATCGAAATATTTTCTCAAAAAATTATTATTAGAAGCATTAATTTAACTAAAAAAAACTCTATAGGTAATATTAATGTTGATCTTATTGTAGGAGAAAGTAAGCTCAGCCTTAGTACCACCTTGAAGTTGCCTATGTTGAACATAATCATCGGCCACATATATGTCATATAAGTCAGAGGATCTTGAGTCTTGAGACTGTAACACCATATATGTTACATAACCTGTTTCTGTGTCATTCACTTGTATATCTGTTGCTCCACGTTCCCTAAGTTCATCCCTCTTCTCCTTGGTCAAATTGTCCATGAAACAATCTTTTGGAAATGAAAACCTTTTTTTCGACCCGTCGTATGTTGCTTCATATGTACGACTCATGATGATTAATCGGGGCTAAATCTTAAGTGTGTACGAGTATTGTTTATGTGAGAGTTAAGGTTGTATCCGTCTATGTTTCAATTTTAAAAAGAATTCAACTCTATTTATATGACCAGCGTGCTCAACTTCATATTACGATTTATTTACATAAATAACATAATTTTATTTATGTATAGATTACAATATATGGTTAAAATATGAGGGTATATTCTGAACATGACAAATTTGAAAGAATGTAAGAACTAAGAAGGATGTACTTTAAAAATTAGCTAAGGTAATCAAATATTTCTTTTAATTGTGGCGACAATTATAGCATAAAATTTTCTAAGGCACATACAATCTTAATTGCCATTATTATTTATTTGTATAGAATGATTTTATACTAAAGCTTGCCATTTATTATTTAATATTATTACTAGCTTGTTAGTACTTACTTTCCGTTATTATCACTCTTTCTCATTTAAAGAAATTCGTGACCTTAAATTTTGCAAATGAAGAAAGGAATTTTTTTTGAAGACATGGAATTTTTGTTAACCAATAAGGTAATAATGCTTTTTTTTTTTTTTTTTTTTTTGGTTTTTTCTAAGCTATGCCCCCAATTTCTTCGATTTCTAAGATGTACTCATGCTTTTTTTAAGTTATAAGTTGTGTCCTCCACCTCACGATATTTTATCAATAATACTCTTCAACATTTATATCCGTTAATGAAAGTTAAGTTATTTTATCAATAATGGTATCTGGCGTTATTAATTTGACACGTGTCCCATTCTAATTGGTTTAACACTTTAAAAAAATTTAAAAATCAGAAAATAAAATAATAAAAAAAGGTTACTGTTAACGTTAAAAGTTATTGTTAATAAAAATTAGTGAGGTTGAGGGCGCAACTTAGACGTTTGAAAAAGCATGGGCATAGCTTAAAAACCGAAGAAGTTTGGGTGCATAGGTTAGAAAACCCCTTTTTTTTAATAAAAGTTTTTTTTTTGGGTGTGAAGAAAGGGTGGAAAAACTCAACTAAAGACAAAAGTGTGTTATATTTAGTATTACATAAATATAGAGTACGGGCTTGTTCACATTTACTGAACTGAACTGAACTGATTGGAGCTGAACTAAATTGAACTGAACTGATTGGAACTAAACTGAGCTGAACTGAAATGAACTGAACTGAAATTAAGTAAATGTTAACAGGCCCTACGTATGGACCTTGAAATATTGATCCAAACTCGATGGCCCGACTCTAAATTGACCCAAAATCCAAAATTGACCTGATCCGATTCATATCCGACCCAAAAATGGTGTTGACTTGATCTTGACCCGACACCCAAACTGACCTGATCCGAAGTATTTGAGTATAACAAACCCGATACCCGAAATTGTTCCGAACAGACCCAATACCTCAAATGTCACAAACTAAAATTACCTTATACGTAGTAATTGAAATATCTATTGCCAAAACTAACCCAAATTGTTCATCTTCAATCGTAGCCAAGCTCATAAACCGAATTGATAGTTCTAATTATAACAATAATAAAATATAAAATTATTGACTTGAGCTTAACCCACAATTGGAACAACTCGAACATCACCCGACCTGATTTTAACCTGATACGAATATGACCCGAACATATATACTTGACCTGAAAATTGTTTGACTCGAACATATTCGACCCGAAATTGACTCAACCCAATACCTGACCCAAGTCATACACAAAACTCGAAATGACACGACTCATACTCGACCCGAATGTCAACTGACCCGAAATGACTTGATCCAAACGACCCATTTGCCAAGTCTACATAGATTTGATAAATTCATAATTTTCTTTGTTAAATATTTATGCAAATATTTTTGAATTAAAAATCTAATAAAGAAAAAAAATCAACTAAATTTAATCTTGCCATTAATATTTAGTTATAGTATATTAATTAAACCGCGTGTATTATAGGCTTGTTCTAATTTACTGAAGTGAGCTGAACTAAATATTTTATGTAAGAAGGAAATTAAAAACTGAACTGAGCGATGAATTTTATCAATTTAACATATGGATAAAACGATGATGATATTCACATTATCAAGGCTCAAAAAAGGTAGTGTTGAGACTGTTGATGGTTACCAACTTCCCTTGTGGACTAATGGTAAGAGAATGAAACCTCTGAAGTCTAGGTCCAGGGTTCAAGCATTGATAACCACCTCTCTTTCTCTCTTCTCTCTAAAAAGGGTGTTGACGGTTGTTCCATAGGAATTCAAGACGGAGAAGGAACAAGGAAGGATATTTCTTCTCATTAATGAGAAATGCTATTCATCAATACATATAATGATGGCATAGTGAAAGTATATGGGATCTTATACAGATAGTTATTAGACATACCAAGTTTGTTTGGTGTAGTTGGTTAGGAATTAATCTTATAGCCTTAGGGTCACAAGACGAATTCTTTCGGCTGCAGTACTTGTTTTATGTAGTGAATGAGGAACTAAGGGTTCCTTATTGTGGCCTTATCCTTCCCCGCAACTTGCAAATGTCTTATCGCAAATATTAAATTTAAAACAGTTGAGGTCTAATCGAGTTCTTTCTCCTTACCTTGAAAAAATGTACATGTATGGAGGTACCTACTCCCAAACCTAGACAATCACCGAAATATATCCATACGAGCACATTGTCTTGTATTGTTCGTAAATCGTAAGTATATATTAAGGACTTGTTCTGATACGATTATTTTCAGTTCAGTTTAGCTCTAATAAGTTCAGCTCAGCTCAGCTCAGTTAAGCTCCTAATTTCCTTTTCTCATAAAATATTCAGTTCAACTCTAATAAGTTCAGTTTAGTTCAGTTCAACTCTAATAAGTTCAATTCAGTTCAATCAATCAGAACAGACCCTAAGTATATACATAGTACACATCTTCACAGCCCATCTTCACACAATAGTAAAGGTACTTCAAATTACATGGCTCTATAAAAGAGGGAAAGGGTTATTGCACTAGTGAGAAAGCATAGTGGAGTGTTTGTAAAACTTGATATATACTACAAGTAGTATAAAACAAAAATTGTTTTCAAATTTTGAGAGCATAATCAATACAGAGAGAATTGTAGAAATGCCATGAAACATTTACAACTGGGTCCGCAACTACTGTTAGCATAGATATCTCATTAAATTAAGTGTGACAAATTTAGAGTGGAATTTATCAGGTGCTTCCAACCTGGAATTGTTGCAAGACATTTGGTGTTACTTAGGAACAAAGCATGATTGTATTAAGCTTATAACCTTGAACAATTCTCCTTGAGAACAATAAATTTTTTTTAAAAAAAAATTATAAAATAAAAATTAAAAAAAAAATAGGGGGGAGGGGGGACTTAACACCCTAAAATATAGCTTAATAGTTGGTGGTGTCAAAGTTCAGGATGTTAGGTACACCTAAGGTATATATATTGTGGCCAATTTTGCAAAAAATGCACTCGTAATGCAAAACAAAAATTGGGCTTCAAAAATCAAAATTAAACATAGTTTTTTTTTTTTCAAAAACATGTGTTTACTAGTAGAATGATGGAAGATTCCTAGAGTACTCTCAAGAACAAAGAAAAATCAAAGAAAGTACTCGAACCATAATTTATGATGAATACAAATAAATCCAAGCATAAACGTACGTGGGACAGTTAAATAAGATGCTTTAAATTTAAGTCTAGTGATACCTTTGCAACCCAAATCTTGTGGCCAAGCATTGCTGTAGCCTTGGTGCCTGATTTTGTCTCTTCCAAATATAACCCTTATCTACCATATCTCAGATGGCGACGGCGTAAGCTAAAAAACACGGTGCATGTGATACCAAACTCGCTAACATCCATCAATATTGGCGCATTAGTATGCTTAAATCACTGAAGAACAGCAGGCTAAACTCTCATTTCCACAAAATATAAGGCAACAAGTATCTTACTTATCAATCTTTCAACTTACATGTGATACTCATATGTTGGCTAAACGACATCCGATAGTGTTTTGATCATATATTTTGAAGATTTGAAATAATAGTTTAGCGACTTATTATAAGAAAAAAAGTTTATCCTTGTATGTACGTACTCGTATTTGCTTGGCTAAGATTATCTCTATCGTGATAATTCATCCCCATCCTAGTCCCTCCCCTGTCTGAACCTAAACGACATTGGTACTGTATGGATGACGATTCCTGCCTTCTTCCTATGGAATGATCTGCCAAAGCAATAGGTTTACCTTGCAGAGGATCTCAGGGGTCAACAACCTTGGCTGAAAGGAAGCTCCTAGTTTAGTCAGTTATGAACAACACTCAATAAGCCTGATATCTGTTTACTGTGGCAGTCAAAAACTACCCAATAAAAAAAATTTAGAAAAAAAAATGCATTAATAGATCACAACATCATGTTACTACAAGATGTTATAATGTTAGTAGCCTAAAGCTGAGATCATAGAAAGGTCTAGGATAGGCCATCACCAAAATATTCCAGAGATCAGGTCGGACCACAATTATCGACTGGAAAATTCAGCCCAACCCAACAGTGATCATGCTTGGTCAAGTAGGCCAACAGCATAAATGGCTTACTAATATAGCAATTAAGGCCAGGCAAAACTCCAAAAAAAAGTCCAAAACAAAATGAACTGGACCACAGTTCAGGGTAAAAAATTTCTGCAAAACCGGACTTAATGAAGTTTTGGTCATACGGTCATCCAACTAATCAAACACTTAAATAGAGCAGCTAATCTTTTCCATTTCAAAGAAATATTTATCACTCCAACTGTGATAACTGACTAAATAGCATCGTAAGTATGAGAAGAAGGCGGCACACAAGTACTGTTAATAGAATTTAAAATAAAATATCAGTCTGAATTAGCACAGATGAATTTAAAATAGCTAAAGGATCAAGTAGTGTGTTTTGGTTTATCTACTGGGAAACCTAAAAACTTGTTTATAAGTGTAGCAACCGGTTTAGCATCACCAGCAGGATATGGAAGAAGAGAATCTAGATTCATACTAGCAATAGTCTGATAAAGGGTTTGAGGGTGCGCACAGAACAAGTGTTTCCTCTCTGCTAATTCTTCTGCCAGTTCTTCTTGATGATTATCCATCAAGTCCTCATTCACCACAACAATTAAAGGCTTACGCTGTCGTAATGTCTCAAAAATGCTGCCTGATCCTGTAAGACAACCAGCAATATCTGTATCAGCTTGGATTAATTTAATTATCTCCTAGTAGATCATGCTATGGTGAACAAACATATATCAACTCAGTTGCTTTTGTTAACTTGATAGCGATAATAGGTTAGGTGTCTTTCACTTACAGAAATTAATCTCATTCTCAAAGTAATTCAACAATCAATCTCTTTACAAGTTTAGACCAGCTAGATGCAATGTGGCATATATCTAAGTTCACACAGCATGCTAATTACTCTAGTAACAAGTTCAATCAGCAGAACAAGCAACTAATTTTGAAGTGAAGATACCGTGGCCACAGAAAGGTTCAAAGTAAGTAGTGTGAAAAATTGAAGTAAAACCTGATTTAGCAGGCACATTATTCATAATTCAGTCATCATAAGATAAACAGAAATTGAAGAATACTGTTCGAATAAAGAAGGCACCATCAGCCCTTTAGGATCTGTGAAAGGCTTAAAGCTATACATGTCAATAGCTGAGATGACCTAAAAACACAATCCAATACAATCCAAAATATTAGGCTTTCGACAACATTTGTTTCACCGGTTACCGAAAGGACCTGCTAAATTCAGCTTAAAAGGGACTTAAACAAATGGTGAGCTGAGATCAACACAACCGGAACCTGAAATTACTCAAGCTGAAACTAATCTAACCAACACATCAGACAAGTCCGGCTGCAGCCACTAGTAGACACTAGAAAGTCCCCTAAAGTATAAGTAAAGCAAACCAAAAATCTAGATATCAGGAATTTCATACTCTACTTCTGGCCAAGAATATTATGAATATCAGAGAAAAAACAATTTACAACCCAAATTTAAAAAACAAACAAATGTATAAATACCTGCATGACTTATGACAAGAGAAGCTGCTGACAGGCTCTCTGCAATGCTAGACGAAAACGTGAAGTATTCAACAGCTAGGGACCCATCGTCACCAGTTGACTACATGTGAATCAGAGAAAAACAAAAAGTCAGACCCTACATCAAGTAAAGAGTTCAAGCAGCAGTCTGAATAATGCCATTGAAACTTTGATAATCAACTTAAAATACAATTTAGCAATGCCCTAATGCAGACCGGACCTATCCCCAAAACAAGACTCTCTCTTTATTGTTGTCAACATAAATTCTCAGATATATTATGATTACATTTAGTTGTGCATCCATATCTATGATAAAAAGCCTAACATACAATGGCAAAACCCCAGTATGGAGTCAAATATGATGTGCAACAAGCAATTACTTTATTTCATAAATTAGATGTAAAGCACTTCTAAAACATCACACACAAGTTCGAGTGGCAACAAGGCAAAATTTCAAAATACCCTGGCAGGGATGTAAGAACCACGACCGATTTGAATCAGGAGGTGAGTATACCCTTTTGCATATAATTCTTGCTTGACTTCAGGAGTGTCCACTGCTTTGATAAGAGCATCAAATAGAGTAGTTCCCACGGTGACAAAAACTGTTCTCTTAGGAATCTTACTGCTATCGGCACTTTCCATTTGCACACGTATACACTTCCAAACTCCACAGCTGTTCACATACAGGTTCACTCATTAAACTTAAGAACAAAAAAAGATGTATATGAGGCTATATAGCTCAAGAACCTCATATGCAGCATTAAGAAGACTAAGTTTTAGATACAATGACAGATCCAGGGATTGACCCATGTGAGTTTGGACCTTGGAGTAGACCTGGTTATTGTGCGGGTCAGTGCAGGTCAGTACAGGGCCAATTTGGGTCAGGGTCGGGTCAGAGCGATGTGCAAAAGCAACATGGGTCATTAATGGGACTTTACATTTTGATATTGTGATTACTCATAACAATAATTATGAGTATATTCTCTCAATTCATATAATTATATTAATATTATTTCTTTTTTTAAAGGTAGGAAATGTTGAAATTGTTATGGACAATTGAGAAAGATGAAGGTTTGTCAATGGAGGAAGTCAGAGAAAAAGGTTACACCAAAATATGTAATGCTCAAAGGTCTACCAATTCCATTTAATCGTAATAAATACTTCATAACAAAATTCAACAAATGAAAACTATAGGCTTATATCGATAACTGACAACTAATCAAGATAATGAAACAACAAAATTGGACCCGAAATTCAAATAGATGAGAACAAAATCAAATTGGTGAGCTCGAATATATATGAAATCAATCAAACAAATCAGTTAACTCGAAAATCATACCCCTAGATTGAACTACAAAATGAATAAAAACAGAAAATTTCGATCAAAAATTGAGCTAAAATAATGAAATTCAAACGATTGTCTTACAGCTTATCAATATGAATTCAAATCTAGGGTCCGAAAAATTACAAATTTGGCGATCATGAAACTAGTAGAACAGAAATTAAGCTTGGATAATTAACAGGCTTTAATAAGTGAAGTATTAATAAGAAAAATTCTAGAAAATAGCACATATAAAAAGATAATATGAGTAGATTTGTGATATTGGTTTACCTGGAATGCTGAATAGAATCAAGCAGCCATTGTACGGCGGTCTACGGTTGTTTCAGCGGCGTCGATTCACCGATTTGACGGTGGTCAATACTAAGGCAGAAAAAAGGAATGAAAAAATGAAGATGTTTGATCATTACCGGGGCCGAGCCCTTGAACCAAGGATTCGGGCCGGGCCCAAGTGTGTTGTGGGCCAAAATAAAACCTACTACTATTTTAGGTTTGGTCTAAGTGGGCCCAAAGCCTGACATTTTTTTTGGGTCATGCTGCATGCTTTGATGCTTTCGATTTTGTTTAGCTTAATTTAACTTCAGCTCAGCTCAGTTCAGTTACTAATTTTTTTTTTTACTCATAAACAATTCATCTCAAGCTTTCAGCTCCATTCAATTCAGTAATTCAATTCAATAGTTTTCAATAAATCGGAACAGGCCCTTGTTCTCTTTACCTGAAATAAGGTACACGTAACCTACACTGATTTTAATACAATCTTGTTTAGACTAACATGAATTTTTCTTATATAATCTATCGCAAGAAATGGGAGAAATGAAAACGAAAAGGTATTCGATTTTCGAGAGGACCTTACTTTCTGGCTGGATTGAGTAGGTTAACAACCTAATAATCTAATATGAGTAAATTTTTACCACATTTTTACTCTAATCTATAGGATAAAATACATTATCAAATTATTTTAATTTTACTAGACTTGTTTAATAAAATGTATTTTCCGTATATGTAATTTTACTTGTGATTAATATTGATCTAACACAATAGCATAACATGCCCTAGATGCAAACACACTTAAATTATATGATTTGTTTGTAGGATTAATATTTTATATGCATACATATTTTTATTTGCGTACTTTAAACCATGAAAGCGTAGTTTCACATGGCAAAAGGGGAAATATTACCAAAAAGAAATAGGATGAATATAACATTTCACAATCCACTCATCCATCCATAACATCATCATTAATCGACAATCTAACAGCAAAAACTGAAAAAAGAAAAAATGTGAAAGACAAATAATCTTTACACCTAAAGTTCTTTTAGTGTAAATATTTTTCCTCCAATTAACCCTTTTTATCCTTTTCATATGGTTTGAAATCCAAAAATAAGATTTTATGAGAAAATGTGAAAGCAAAAGGAGCAAAAAAAGAGAAATTATGTGGTATAATGAAGTGAATGTTAATAACAAAGGCATGAAAAGCAACCTTGGGATCTCCAAAAGTTTTGCATTTGATAATGATCTATTGAAAGAATTGAAGGAAGCTAGCCAACACAAACACTATCATAGTTCATAAGTTCAGTTTTGTTAACTAGTGAAGTAGTAGTGTAATTGAATAGTGAGTGGTAGTCCAATTTTTTGAGTCAAAAAGGTTGATAAAAGAGAAAGTTAAAGGAATTCTTCGATCAGAATTCTTCTTATTCTTCTTGACAAGGTCCTTTTCTTTGTTTTAGCAGTGTCATGGTTTAAACCTTCATCTTGTGTTATGTGCAAATTGTTCTAGGCTTTATTTACGAGACTTTGACGCGTCAATGAATCAAATGGGCAACCTATGTCTAATATGTATGCGTAAGTTTGGCCTAGTGGTAACTGGTAAGGATTGTACCTTTTAATTTTGAGGTTAAGGGTTCAATCCCTACTAGCGATACTTTAAGAATTGAGAGTGGGGATTCCTTACCCTGTCTAGTGGTTACTAGTAAGGATTCTACCTTTCAACTTTGAGGTTAAGGGTTCAATCCCCACTAGCGATACTTGGAGGGTGGGGATATCTTATCCTTCTCTTTCACTCTTAATGTGTCTAACTAGCGAATATCGGACTAAAAAAGCTTGTGAGGGTTAAGATACAATTTAAGGTCCTTCTCCTTACTTCAAAAAAAAAAAAAAGGAATACAAAATACGGAGTACTAAATATACGATACCTAGTTCGAGAATAATTTCATAATACGTTGTAATTTAGATTTAACTAGTGTTGCAAGGAAGATTTTGATGAAAATAAAAATGGGTTAGTCAAATTGATGCACTCGAGTACAATAGAAATTGGTCAATCAAATTGATGTACTCTAGAGGGAGTAATACAGTAATAAAGATCACAAAAGTATTCCTACACCATATAATTTACCGCAATGTACAATCGCCTCTACCCAAAAGGAAGGCGAATGAATAAGTGGAGGTAATTTTTCATTAATGAATCATTTGTTAGGTGGGTGTTATTATGGCACATGCCCTGAAATTTTGTATTCTAGCATCCAATTTGTTGGTTTTTTTTTCCTTGTTTTCAGCTTAGAATGGTGTCTTTGGTACAATATTAATTAGTTGTGTGATTTTGGAATTTATCAAAAAAAAAAAAAATCAAGTCAAAACTGAAAAGGATTTGGCATATTGGGAGAGGACGTATACAAAATGAGTTGGTGTAAAAGCAGCGTCAGTTTTATGATTATTGTTCACAATTTTGAGACTCCAAAAATTGGTGCATGTCTTTGATTGTTTTCCATGAATGACGAACCTACTCACTGGTTACTCATTTATCACACATCTTCTCGTCTTAAATGACATTGCTCATTTATATGACGATGCATGCGCATGTAAATCCACCCATTTATTACCCTATCTAGTATCTACTACAGGGACACAGGGTACACGAGTTAAGGAATTGATTGTAAACTCCGATCTATATAACTTCAGGCTTGTCTAGTTCACCTTATTTTTTTTTCTTATTTGAACTTATCTGATCTGGTCTAATCTGATTTGGTTTGACCAAAAAATTTAGAGACAATATTGAGTTAATGAGATTAATTCAGTTGAGTCGCTTATTGTCCCTCAAGTAGTTGTCAATTACGAGTCTAGGCTGCACCCATTACGGGAGAGTGCAAGTCGACCACTTTACAAAACAAAGGAGATTCTACATTTATACCTCAAAACCATATGGCAATGAACCCCTTAGTATTATAAAGTGGCGTTAACTCTTGAATTCTTTCAATGTGGGATTCTTACAACTACACTCCCCTTTAGTCTTTTTAGTGTGGGACAAGAGACGCTCACATGTGGGTTGTTCATAGACTCAACAGTAGTGCTTATTTTGAGTTGAAGCGATCAAGATATACTTATTCCTAAAATAATATTTTTTATTTCCTCTGTCTTTAAAAATTATTCATATTTAATAATCTCAAAAATTCAAAATGGAAAGAACATTGTAGGCTATATTCTTTTGAGTTATTGAGGTTTGCTCTACTCTACTCTACTAAAATATGCTCTATTCTACCAAATATTTTTAATTTATTATGTTATACTGACGTCTGCTCTGTTTTGCTCAAAAGCTCAAAATAATTTTTTTTGAAATAACAAGAACTTAACATTGTAATTATTTTCTTTCCTATCTCAAATATGAAATTTTTGATATCATTGTTTGGTCAAATAAGATCTAAATGCGCTAATCCCAATAAACAATCTCCACATAAAGTTGTTGATATCTTTCAATTTTCTAGTGTAAATGGGGATGTGATTATGTAGTAATTTACACTTAGGACGTAGGACCATACTTTTGTTTTTTGGAGTGGGGTTGTTTGTGTTTGCATAGAGCAGGAGCAGGACCACTTCATTAACTGTACTTAATTATTTAATTAATTAATTACTGGTGCTAATAACGAAGTCTATAGTAATCTAAAAATAAACGGGGGTTGTGTCAAATTCTGTGCAAATTCGGAACATTAAATTTGTCCGTTTCAATTGTAAATGTATTTCCCTCTTTTCCGTGAAGTTGTGTTTGTAGTTTGTACTACCGTTGTTTTCTCTAGTCTATCCTTTTGGAAAATTATTGTCTTTATTAGTTTTTGTTAAGTCATTAGTGTATAACTTTAGTTACACTTGAATTAATTTTTGAAACAAGACACTTGAATTGCTAGGTGTTTTTTGAACAAGACATTTGAATTATTGATATACGTATAAATTAATTAATATCCCACCATATGTAAACTTTTACACCCAAAAAAATTGCTATATTAATTGGTTAGATTTTAAGGATGATGCTTAGGATATGAGATCAAATTTCATATGTATTACGGAGTATTTGTTCTTTCTAGCTCTTTTTACGTTAAAAGAAAAAGATATTGATACTACTTTGTACGGAGTACTAAAACATTTTAGTTGAATAAATGAGTATGACTTAAGGCTTCGATATAGATAGAGTTGAAAGATTATAAGTTAAGTCGAATTTCACATGAAAAGCCTATTTAAATGTACAGATTACTTTTCATACATTAAGCTTCATTTTTTTAAAAGCAAAACAAGCAAGGCATTTCCGCATCTCATTAAATTAAATCAAGTTCAAGCTTCTTAAAAAGAAGAGATTATAGCTATTAAGGTTCTGTTCTCTTTAGCTTATTTTCAATTCACTTTACTTCAGCTTCAATTAGTTCAATCCACTTCCTAATTTTATTCTCTCATAAAATATTCAGTTCAATTTAGTTCAGCTCCAATCTGTTCAGTTCACATTTACTGAATTAAGTTGAAATACATATTTTATGAGAGAAGGAAATTAGGAGTTTAAATGAATTGATTAGAGGTTAACTAAATTGAACTGATCGGAGCTGAGTTGAACTCTGAATTGAACTGATTGGAACTGAGCTGAACTGAACTGAACTGATTGGAGCTAAACTGAACTGAACTAACCTAAACTGAAATTAAGTGGAATTTTTAGAAATGAAAGGAATCTATAGATGTTATTTTTTCCTCCAATTTCCAATAAAACTACTTTTCAAAGTGAAAGAAACACTCGAGTACACAACTACACACGATTGGCTAGTAACTTGTTTATTTTCCCTCAAAATAAATGTAGTACGTCATTTTTCATTTTTATATCATGAACATATGGATGTCTCAAAAACCATGAGGTCCATGACCAATTGTACCATACGTCCATACAACCAAAGTTAAGGAATAAAAATGGTTAAATGGTACATTACTCATATTTTTTTTTTAGTCATAAATCTGAAAGATTCTTTTGTTTGAAGTCAACTAAAATTCTTACTTACTTTTATCAAATAAAACTTACAATAATATTATGAGAATTCCAATATATTTGCATGTTAGATATATCAAGAATCAGCCAGCAGCTGTTAAAAGAAAATTGACATCTAGTGATATTCGTT